GGGGTGTCGCCCACCCTTCAGTTTCAAGGGGGTGTCACCCGCCCTTCAGTTTCAAGGGGGTGTTGCCCTTCAGTTTCAAGGGGGTGTCGCCCTTCAGTTTCAAGGGGGTGTCGCCCGCCCTTCAGTTTCAAGGGGGTATCCCCCGCCCTCGAGTTTCAAGGGGGTGTCACCCACCCTTGAGTTTCAAAGGGGTGTCGCCCTTCAGCTTCAAGGGCGCACCCTTGGGATGCAAAAATGTGAAAACAATGCGGGTCGCTCTAAGGGGATGGTGGAACGATAATTTTTCGCTTCGCTACGGTAGCGTTCTGAATTACCTAGGGCCGGTCAGTTCGATGGTACACCCCTGAACTTTTGAAATCGCCTGCCCTTGAGTTTCAAAGGGGTGTCGCCCTTCAGTTTCAAGGGCGGACCCTTTCCTTTAGCAGGCCCTAGTTAATTCAGAACGCTACCACTCTCACTTACCTGCATAATGATGATATCTCAAAGCCGTCGTCTTTTTTTTTCAAAAACAATCAAAAAAAAAAAAAGCACGTGGAGCAGCAGAGTATGCATGAGATAGCGAAGCCAACTCGCTCATGCCCAAAAAGAGTTAAAAAAAAAGAAACAGCTATACCACTCCATTGCCGTCGCGAACGAAAACATTACCAAAAAAAAACAAAAAAAAAAACGAGAGGAATCAATTCATCATAACGTGCAAAGCGGTTCAACAATCTATTACAATAAAAATCTTATTACTTCTTACAAGTTTGAACGGCTTGTCGAAAGAACGCCCAAGGAGAGGGGGGAGGTGGTATTAAAAAACAAGGTTCAGTACTCCGTCACAATTACTTTGGGGGGGGGGGCGGGAATATACATATTGGACGCGAATGATAGCAGATGTTTCCAGAAGAGTTAGATCCAGCAAATAAGTCAACTGTTCAAAGAAAGAGAAAAGGAAGACAAGAAAATAGTTATCAGATTCATTCATTTGTTGTAGGGGCGGACGTGGTAGTAATCATCACAGCAGAAGAGTACCCCCAAAAAAATAGAAACAGCCATAGGACCTCTCGCTGAGGATGACAATATTGCTTGGTAAGTGCATTGGTGTTTTTTTCTTCTCCAGTTTTAAAGAGGAAAAAAGAGTCAGTGGTAGCAGTCAGTAATTTGCTTGAAGAGTGCATTCTGCCAATTTTTGCGGCAAGACGCAATCATCCATCAGGTTCGGCGAGTGGTGCAGCGACGCCCATAATGTCATGTACCTCAGGATAATCAGACCGTGAGAGGACCGCGCCATCACGTCTCTCTCTCTCTCTCTCTCTCTCTCTCTCTCTCTCTCTCTCTCTCTCTCTCTCTCTCTCTCTCTCTCTCTCTCTCTCCAGTTTTCGATTTCCGACAGCTTGCAGCTCCTTAGAGAAGCAAGAGAGAGATCTGGCAGAGTACGGGAGTGGGAAGATTGATTAGGGACAGTGGGTCTCAGCACCTCTCTCTCTCTCTGTGTGTGTGTGTGTGTGTCTGCGTGTGTGTGTGTGTGTGCAATTTTCGATTTCCGACAACTTGCAGGCCCCTACAGGAGCAAGAAAAAGAGATTTGGGAGAGTAGGGACACTACGGAGAGTCCGGAAAGTACAGGAGCAAGAAAAAGAGATTTGGGAGAGTAGGGACACTACGGAGAGTCCGGAAAGTGGGAAGATTGACTAAGGACATTGCGCCTTGGCACACCACTCTCGAATCTCGAAAACTCGAGTCTGGCAGCTCTCTCTCTCTCTCTCTCTCTCTCTCTCTATCTATCTATCTATCTATCTGTCTCTGTGTGCTTGTGTGTGTGTATGTGTGTGCGCAGTTTTCGATTGCCGACAACTTGCAGCTCCTTCCAGAAGCAAGAGAAAGGATTTAGGAGAGTAGGGAGACTACGGAGAGTATGGAAAGTGGGAAGATTGACTAAGGACATTGCGGCTTGGCACACCACTCTCGAATCGGAAATTTGAGAGTTCCGAATGTGACCACACAGCCTCACGAACTTCGACCAAAACAAAAGTTTTGAGAGGTGTCAGAATCCATCCATTTGTGAGAATTCTTGAAAGCCGGATTATTACTATTAACAAAAAAGAAAAAGGGCCGGACTTGGTCCATCCATCCTGCAACAACGGCCGTTTCCAGAGTCAATCCGTCCCCGCTCACCAAAAACGCTCTTGCTTTTTCTCTTTTATTTTTAACGCTCTTGCTTTCGAGAGTGGACCTGACTTCTTAAAAAGATTGGGGGGAGGGGGAGGCGGCGGGAAGAGAGTCGGCCTGAGGTTGGGACTGACAACAGGCTGGTTTTCCCGGCCAATTCTTTTTTTTTTTTTTTTTTTTAATGTGGCCCGATCGACCACAGATCAGATATTAAACTGATCAGAACAGATACTACTCTGGATCTTACTTGGCCACAAGGCCGAGAAAGGTATACCCGGCCAATTCTCGCGAGCAACCAGCTAGAGAGCTCTGTTTAGTGTATAGCCGAGTGTCGGATTCGTCCGAAATAGGGGCTGGCTCGGGAGCAACCAGTTCGACATTTTTTAACAACTCACGAAAAATACCAAGGCTTTCGAGATCCGAGAATGGCCGGAAAAAAAAAAAAAAAAAAAAAAAGAAGAAGATTCGTAGATGGCGTGAGTGGTGTCGCGAGTTCCATTAGGACACCTAACTGAGATCAGGATTATTTTTTATTATTATTATTTTAACTACACTATATTGTTCTCTAAAATTCTTTTTTCTTTTTTTCTTTTTAATACACTATGTTCTTCTCTCAAATTCTTTTTTCACCTTTCACTACCTTCCTGCCACTACTCCTAAGACTATATAGAGGGGACCCCTGCAAGCATAGGGCCTCGCAAGCGAGGTAATTCATGTTGCCCCCCGCCCCAACAGCGGTAGTCAGGAATGGGGTGGGGGTCCGGCTAACGCAAAGACCGAGCATTTTGCCAGTAGCTGCGTCTCTCTTTCTCATCGTCCCCCACCTAAAATTCTTTTTGCCTTTCACCACCTACCTACAGAATGGCCAAAAAAAAAAAAAGATTCGTAGATGGCGTGAGTGGTGTCGCGAGTTCCATTAGGACACACCTAACTGAGATCAGGATGATTTTTTATTATTATTTTTTTAACTACACTATATTGTTCTCTAAAATTCTTTTTGCCTTTCACCACCACCTACTGCTACTCTTAAGGCTACCCCTGTCCCCCTCTCAGTTTAGCTACATTCTTAAGAATCCCGCTCTGTTTTCCCTATCTTCTTCATTACAGCTGTATTCGGGACGACTTTCGATCTAGATACAGAGAGAATGAACGGGCGTTCTATTCGGGTGAAGAATGGCAGCGCGACGCAAAAGGAACTAAGGAGATCGAAACAGCATTGAAATGCTCCTGAGAGCCCTTCGGGACATCCGATTTTATTTTTATTTTCTTAATTGGACCGATACACAGAAGATTAGTATCGCCCCTGCGCAAGGATGACACGCATAAGAAATGGTCCCAAAAAAAAAAAAAAAAAAAAAAAATCCGTCGAATTCGCGGAACGAGGGAAGTACATGGGTGAGGAAGATTTGCAAAACGGACTACGAGGAAGTCCAAAAAAAAAAAAAAAAAAAAAAAAAGACTTTCTCAGCCTTTTGTCTAAGATCACTTGTAGTATCTGTTCTGATCAGTTTAACAATATCATATATGATGATTACAAAACAAAGAAAAGACTTGGTGGAAAAGAGAACGTGTACTCAAAGGAAAAAGCGGACGCGCAGAAACAACGAGGACATGTGTCCTTGCTCTACTCCTTCCGACGATGCCTCTGTTCCCTCTCTGTGTTCTTGAGTCTAGTTCCCAAGAAACCTGTTTTCTGCAAGTCCTCCGGATTGTCGTGAGAAAGGAGCGAGAGAGGAGACGAGAGAGCATCTATAGCAGTCGAGCTGGATAGCACGGCAACGGAGACATAAACCATAGTGCACGGCAACGAAGAGATATAAACCAACTGCGCGAAAGAGGGTCCTGTCATCCAAAATGCAAGATAGTTTCGCAGGCAGCTGGGCAGCTACGTCACTGGGTGAAAATAGGTGCACCTGCGTTCGACTGATTCCTATCATTAGCTACGGTAGCGTGTGATAGGGAGTGACTGAGTGTCATTGGGTGTGCGTAGCCGTCAGTGGGTGTAACAGGGTGTAACAGGGAGTGAATAAGTGCAACAGGGTGTGATAGGGAGTGAATGAGTGTAACAGAGCGTGATAGGGTGTGATTGAGTGTCATTGGGTGCGAGTAGCTGTAAGTGGGTATGAGTGGGTTTAACAGGGTGTAACAGTCCGTCACAGGATGTGAATGACTGTAATAGGGTGTGAGTAGCTGTCAGTGGGTGTGAGTGGGTTTAACAAGGTGTGAATGAGTGTAATACGGTGTGATTGGGTGTGATTGGGTGTGATTGGGTGTGATTGGGTGTCATTGAGTGTGATTTGGTGTCGTTGGGTGTGCTCGAGTGCCATTGGACGGGATTGGGTGCTAGTAGGTGAGAGTGGTTGTGAGTGGTTGTGAGTGGGTGTGAGTGGGTGTGAGTGGGTGTCAGTGGGTGCGAGTGGGTGTGAGTGGGTGTGAGTGGGTGTGAGTGTAGCAGGGTGTGACAGGGTGTGACAGGGTGTGACAAGGTGTGACAGGGTGTGCCAGGGTGTGCCAGGGTGTGCCAGGGTGTGCCAGGGTGTGCCAGGGTGTGCCAGGGCGCGACAGGGTGTGACACGGTGTAGCACGGTGTACCAGGGTGTGGATGCGAGTGGGCGACGAACTAAGCGATCAGGGAGACTGAGAAACTGACACCACGTCTCCAAGACAGATTATTAACTCGCCAGATGGGTAAGGTGGGCGATCAGCAGCCGGATATAAGCTGTCAACGAAATACTATATGAGCGACTGAACACGCCAGTGGATGGCCTCTACGGAAGGTCGAAGGAGAGCAGCGGCGATCGGACGAGGGCACAAGGTAGCAAGCTACACTAGGTACTACCAGTCGTGATTGCCCGCCTGTGTAATTGATTAGCGGGTGACCGAGTCAGTCGGTGATGGATGCGTGATTTGATGATGATCGGGCATGTGACAGGGTGCTTAAGTGATTGCTTGTTCACGTGCCCCTATGAGGGGATTAGCGGCTGAACCTGCGATAGCGCGGCGAAGTAACTGGATCCGGATGCGACACGTGGAGGTCGGACGAGTAACCAGGTGCGTGACCCACAGGGCGCATAGCAAAGCACTTGTGCGACTGCGTGCGACTGTCAAACAGAATGCGACTGACTATCAAACACGACGGCTCCGTGACTGTACGGCGCAGACAAGAGACGATCAAGTCACACTGAGTGAGCGACCCAAAAGAGGGGAGGAACGGGGGAAAGGGGGGGGAAAGGGGGGGGAAGAGAGACGGTGGGGGGATCGTCTCCATTATAGTGGCGGAGGGAGCGAGGGAGCGTGCGACCGAATAACGATCGAGTCCCACTGGAAAAGGGAAAGAATCATTGACAACGCTAAATGTTTCACTAAATCCATAATCTGAAAATTTCGATAGCCGGAATCGTCATAATTACTACATTAATTACCGTATTTCGAGTGAGCTTTTCACACCTGAAGGTGCTTTTGCCTCTCGCCTGTTCAAGTGAGAGTCTTTCACCACGGAGAGAACGGCAGATCGGTGAGCGGCGTTGCTGGACAAGATGACACGGAAATTGGTTGAAAAAATAGGGAAGGGGGGTGAAGGAAGGGGGGGAGAAAGGTGGGGGGACGGGGGGGGGGCAGAGGGGGCTGATGAAATAACCACCAGGTGAATGAATTGCCCCTAGCAAAGCCACTGACCTCGACAAGGTTGCCCAGAGCGTTCAGCAGCGGTCCCTTGGCCAAAAAATTAGGGTTCGCTAGACACTTCGATATGCGGGGGCAAAGCCTGACGAAGCCACCCGGAAGAGGAACCTTCATGTTGTGCACAACCTTACTGAGGCACAGTGCGGCTGCAGCTTGTACGTTCTTGTTCTGCTCGTTGAGTGCATCAAACAAGGGCCTAAAGAACACGCCCATTGCACTGTGACTTGTGCCCGCAGCAGCAGTCGCTAATCCTCCGGCCCGGTTGTGGTCCGCCTTGGGAGTCGTACACGTGGCAACCCCTCCTTCCGCTCCACTGCTCCCAACGCCGCCAGCACTTCCCACCGCTTCCGCTGCGGAAGCAGACGATCCCGCAGAAGCAGGCGCAGAGGAAGAAGTCGCGGAACCCGCTTCCGCCGCCAACGCACCGGCAGAAGAGGTAGACGGGGTAGACCCACTAACACCAGGAGGAGAGGCAGACGGAGAAGGAGATGGAGCAGCCGCCGCAGACGCAGACTGCGCAGGCGGCGCAAAGCCGTTGCCACCAACCGAAGCCGGAGCCGCCGCGGCATTACCGCTGCTGGGCCCAATCGCACTCATGCCCACAGGCGATACATTGGCCGCCAAGTGGCCCATCGCTTCCGCACACATGTCGCGCACTCCAGCGTCGGGATCCTTGAAGCGCCGCACAATGTTGATCACGATCTTGCTAAGGTGAGGAGCGAGAAGATCTCCGTGGACGATCGCCATTGTCCCAAACAAGCGAACACTCTCCTTTCTCGAGAAGCTCTTCTGTAACCCATCGGAGTCATATAAACACACGAGAAAGATAGGCACACCCTCGGGAGCGAGCCCCTCCACCATCCGATGGAGTTCTTCCACTGCGTGACGTTGAGTGTCTCTGTCTCCCAGCTTCGTCAAAGCGGCCAGCACACGCTGCTTAAGCTCAACCAGTTGCGTGTGTGAACTGGGAGTAGAATGCAGCATGCCCGCGAACCCTCCACCTTGGTGGGAGCTCCCAACTGCCCGTGATCTCCCCCCCACTCCTCCCACCCTCCCGGCTGCCATCCTCGTCTCCTTCCTCAACTACCGCAACCACTCTCTCCACTGCTTTCTCGATTTATTGCGTCAACCAACAACTCACAGCGACCGTCGTCCTTTCCTCAGCCTCGCTCTACCTGATCTCACGAAATGGACAACAATGGAAACTTTCCCTCGCTCTCCTAACCTTTCGACTTCCTCGGGTTGCCAAATAGACGGACAGAGAGATGGGAACGGAGAAAGAGGGCACACCCAGCAAGACGCAAGTGCGTGCGCCCACGAGCATGACTCACCACACCCGCCCGTGCAGCACGTCGGCCCATATCCTGAGCTCTCCGATTCATCCCCTACATCTCCGATCCCCCTCTCCCTTCAATCCTCACCCATTCCTCTCTCTCTCTCTCTCTCTCTCTCTCTCTCTCTCTCTCTCTCTCTCTCTCTCTCTCTCT